AATAGCATGGCAATTTTAAAACCCTTTAAAGTGAAATTTTATTTAAATTTTAAGTAAATCTGATTTTCATTAAAATATTATTTTATTTTTAGTATTTAATAAAATGTGACTCTACCTGAAAAATTACTCCCTCTTCTGAGATGGAAGAACATCATAATCCCTTAAAGCATTGCAATAGTTTTTTTCTCTTAAACCTAATATCACGATTTAAAAATGCTTAGCTGCAAATATATAGACAAACTCATGTGAATAACAGTTTACTTTTAGTTCTCTGCTCACCTATTATAAGTAAAAATATTGCTCATGACAAGTGTCAATTTTATTGCTCATCTTCAATATTAGCAAATGTTTCTGATTATAAATTATCATTTAAACTATATGGCCCTAATGTCCTTAAAAAAAAAAGGTAACATAGAGACTATCTAAGGTTATATGATTTAAACACCAAAGTAACTTTGGTAAGCCATGATAAAGAAAAACTAGTTGTTAAAATCAACATACTTTAGACTCTTCTTCAAGCACTACTAGTTTCTGTAAAATATACTTTCTTAACTTTTTTAAGTGACTACTTTTTAAAGACATTTTAATATGGAAAACTATGAAAGAAACTTTTAACAAGGATTGTATTTAAGATCTATTGGAAGCAAAAACAAAGAAAGGGAGAAAGAAAATCTATAAATTAAGAAAGACTTAAGAGACATATCAACTAAATACTACATGTGGATCTTGTTTGTATTCTGATCTATAAAATCAAATAAAAAAGAATTTATGAGACAATGAGGTATAACTACTCACTAGATATTAACGAGACATTAATTTTTCTAGGTGATAATGGTTTTAGGTTATGTTAAAAAGGGGAACTCTTATCTTTTAGAGAATCATACTGATATAGTTATGGAGTAAATTATATATGTATCTGTTTTAAAATTTTCCAAGATAAAAAGTTTTTAAAAAGGTCTATTGGTAACTAACCTAACAGTATATTTACATTGCTTGTTAAACATCAATTCAAATTTGAAGATATGGGATCATCCTAATTCACAAAACCCCTTACCAGCTAGTTCCCATGATTTAGAACAAGGGGGAAAAACACTGACTATCAATTTATTATCAAGAAATTAGAAAATTCTTAGAATGCTGATATTAGTAAAGTCAATAAACTAATTAGTTGCAGTGAAATAACCCATAATTCCACTAGATTCCATTATATAATCCCTTACTTTAAAAACTTTTCTGAGCAAAATGAAATGCTTATCTAAATTTTTAAGATAAAAAATAAAATTATAGCAAAGCAAAAGACATCACCATAAGCTTGTAAGTTATGCTGCCTTTTAAAAAGGGAAAAGTTGATTTTAAAAGATTAAGATATGTAAAAATTTTAATTTAGTAGAAAAATATGTGATTAATGAAAGCATTTTTCTTTACCAAGGAATTACTTTGCAATTCCTTGTAGGAATTACTTTGCAATACCTTGCAATATCTGCTGTGACATATTATATAGAAGTAAAACCAAATAAATATCCAGCATTGCCTTAAACATTTCTTGAACAAATAAATATTTACTTTGTTAACACAAAGACATTTACCTTTAGAGTTACCTGAATTTCTTCTATAGTCTGGGAAAAATGGTTGCAAACAGCTTTGGTAAAGAATACTACTAAAATTAAATTTCTTAATAATGAAGTAAAAATAAAACAGAAGAGTATAAAAACAAAGCAAACTGTATTGAAATACTAGTCAAAAAATCATACTATGGTGGGAAAAAACACTTAGATGACAATTGCTATAGGCTCTGTTGCTGATTTGGGAAGTAAAAAACTTTGGGTCTCAATTTTCTACCTCTAGAAGATGTTAGATTAATTTCTCTCTCTCCAGTCCCACTTCTACAACCTACAGTATCCACATAGTCCCTTTCTTCCTTTGTAAACCATACTTGACTTTCAGCAGAATACATGGTTGACTGGGATAAAAAAGACCACATTTGCAACCAGGTATGACTATGTGATAAAGCTTTAGTGAAAGTATTATGTTTTAGCAGCCTGATAAATCTACTTAAAAGACAATGTGTACAAATTTTGCCTTTTTCTCCACATTCCAGACATTATGCTGCCAGGGATGGCTCATGTTGGAAATAATGTTTTATCTTATTTAAGCAACCATTATTTTGAAGTTTTTCTGTAATTTGAAAACAAACTTAGTCCTAGATGGCATAAAAACCACACTCTTATACTATGCTACCTTGAAATCAATCAGTTACTCAACAATAAATAAGTGAATGAAAAATAAAATGCTAGAAGGAAAAATACCCTAGAATGAAAGAAAAATTACTACAATTTTACTCCTAATTTCAAAAAATGAGAGAAAGGAGTTTAAGATTTTGTTGGGTACTTTTTCCTCCCCTAACAGGGGTAGTTGGCATGTTTAGTGTAGGTAAAGTAATTCCACACATTAATTATTCCCTCATTTTTCATTCAGCAAATATGTATTTAGCATCCACTATGTACCATGTATTAAGAGTGCCTAAATAGACAGAAAAGATCCCTACTTTAATAAAGTTTACATTCTAGTGGAAAGGTGAAAGGTAGTCTATATTTAATGGCATAAAAATACACAAAGCACTTAGCTATTCTTCTATTGAAGACACTTCCTCACCATCAAAAATATAAATTAACTATAATTAAGTTCTTCCTTTAAAATGAAGACTCTGAACAAAAACCAGAACAATTTAACATTTGTCGCAACCAGATCAATTGTTTTTATGAACCTTTATTTGTGAAGAGAGTGTTTTCTCCACATTTTAATGACCAATGGGGAAAAAAATTCTTGATATTTCATGTTCTCAATAACTTGAAACTTATTTTTACATAATGAAATTAAACATAAAAATGACTATGACAAACAAATTGGCCTTTGGTCAGAAATTTAATCAAGGAACTTAACTAATTGAACCTACAGGAACAGAGATAATACAAAGAAATTACTGATTAGCCAACAAAAAGAGCTAAAAATTTTGATGTCTAAATAAAACATAGAAAGCCAGGTTATAAAAAGGCCAGAGTAATTCTAAATCTGGTCAAATATCAATGGGAAGAGATTTGGAAGAGATCAATTTGGAAGAGATTATTTGGGGAATAATTGGTTTTGGATATGGAGTATGCCCAACATACCTAGGCATAAGAAGATGACTATCTACCTGCTAAATGATCTAAGTGTGACAGTCACTAGAGCTAGAATTCAAATCTGGAAGATATTCACAATGAAAGAGAATAAACTAGAAGGGTATTGAAGGAAATTCCCCTAAAGGGCAGAACAAATCTCCTAAGGGCAAAAGAACAAGAAAGTCACATACCACTGATGTTTTCTTACACACTGATGAATACTGACTTGTAAAACAATGGTTTTAGTAACCTCCTCAATAGATCTCTATAGATCAAGAGTTACTATATACCTAACTTCCCATAAAAGAGGTGGTTTAGGCATTTCAAATATGAATTCCTTGAACAAGGTACTTCACAGAGTGATTTATGCAATGGAAAGCCATGTATTGTCATATTAAGTAACTGTAGGAAATATGCATATGTAAGCTATGCTTTAGTCTTGATACAATCAGCACATATGCCAAAATTATGGCATAATTTATGAAGAGAAAAATGTAAAATATATATGTTTATGATAAAGTATAATTATTCAAATACAAGTTAAGACTATAGTTCTTTTAACCTCTTTAAGACATTAAAGGGTGTCAGTATTATAAAATTTAAAAAATTAATATATGATGGGGTATCCGTCAGATATATATGATTCCCAGAGTATTCAAAATGATTATTACGTATTATTATTAGGATTTCACTATGTCAATATGCCTTTTACACCAAGTTGGCTAAACCAATAACCTTCATAATCTGCTGGCTATTGAGTATTTTTGATATAATTGAAGTGATAGTTGAATTGAAAAGAAGCCCATATTTTTCACATAAAAATATACTATCACAAAACCTGGTGAAATTATTGGTTGACCTTAACAGAGATAAAGATCAAGGACAGTAAGTAATTCTCTTTGAAAGTAGACCTTAAAGGGCAGAGACTACGTTTATTTGATAGAAAATAAAGCATAGATGCCATAGGTTCTTAATCTGGGAACAAAGATCTATTTCAGAGAACCTTTAAGCTTTATATAAAAATCTGAGTCTTTGCTTTCATCTGATTCTGATTCTTAAATGGGTATGGAATCTAAAGACAGAATTAGTACACCTACAAGTGTGATGATCTTATTGGTTAGCAGAACAACTCCATGTCCTTAAGTTATTCAACAGCATATACCTGAATACTAGTAACTGCATTTCCATGGAGTTACACTGTATTTTCCTCTTCCTAAAGCAGTTTCAAAACAAAACAAACCCCAATTCGACACCAAAAACCAACAACTCATGAGATTCAAGCTTTAAGAAAACTATATGGGATTTTTCACTGCAGTCAAGACCAGAGGAAAACCATGAGACAATTTCAGCATTAAAGAGAGAAGAGAATGACACACATTTCTCTGGATATCCCTTTATAAACCTCTTCCCCATTCAAAGACCTAATAACAAATTAAATAGAACATCTCGGATATGCCCTCAGAATCTTAAGGGTGAAATCCAAATGCCACTCCCACACAGAGGCAGAGATCAGGTTTCTTCCAATTCCAACAAAGTGTGCAAAGCTAAGGAGTGCAATTAGAGATGAAAGACTCTCCATTTGCCAAAATCAGGAGGGGGCTTGTCAGTCTTGCCTGACGTAGACAGGGGAGATGTCAAGGAGGTCTGCACGTGATCGGCCCCGGATGTTAAGAAATGCAGCCCTACCAGAATGCTGTGGCCATGAGAAAGCAACTCAGCAGCAGAGGTGGTGGCAAAGGTAAGACCTGAACCTCCTGGTGAAGAGCTACGTGGCACTAAACAAACAGTGCTTCGTCTCCCCAACCCCCTGCTTCCGCCCCAACCATTTTCCCTTTTGGTTACCAGTTGCTCCAGATGCCATACAGTAGTTCCACAAAAGCGAAAGAGAGGTTCAGGCACAGGAAGAAAAACAGGTTCCGGGACGTCTTGTCCGACAGGATAGACCTGGTCATAACACAAGTGGGAAACAGCAGGGAGAGTCAAAGGGGTGCCAAGACCCTAAAGCTGGGTCCCCTTTTCAAGACCCTCCCATCCACAGGCTCCTTTCCTCACAGCGGGGAGTTGAGGGGGGAGTACCTGACACTCCCTCCCTGGACCTCGGGACATTCTGAGGTCTGGGCCCTCTCCTCTTCTGCCAGCCACCCCCTCCCAGCAAAGAGCACCCCGCACCTAAACCAGCCCGAGATCTTGCCGAACAGATTGAACTTCGGTGGTTTGTATTCATCGTCCTTGATGGACAGGGGCAACATCTTCTCTGCCCGGCGAAGGGCCGGGTCTACTTCCCTCTAGAAGCGGCTCCGTGAGGGCGATGGCAGTGACAGTAGTGACGCCTAAGACGGGAATCCCCAGTGCCCGTTCCGGATCGCGCGCCGCTGCGAGACACAGTCAGACCCAGACACACACCCGGGAGCTCGCTGACTTCCGGCCCGGGCCGCGCAACGGGTCCTGGGACGGGAAAGGAGGGAGGCGGGCCCGTGGGCGGGGCCTGCGCTGCGGGGGCGGGGCTTACGGGGGCGGGATGGGAGCTGTCCCGGGTCTGTTGAGGGTGCTGTGGAAGGAGGTGGCGACTGCGAGGGGGTTGTCTAAGGGACTGACCTGGGGTAGGGTCCGGTCACCTGGACTCAGGAACAAAATCCTGAGGTGGCGACCTGCAGACTGGGATGGCAGGAAGTTGAGAGCCCTCTCACGCCCACCCTAACCGCCTCCCGCCCGTGTTCCCGGATGCACGGTGCCCAGCCCCTACCCTTTCGCCCCCGGCCCCCCACCTCCCGATTGGCATTAAATCCCCGTGCGGTGCGGTGGGTAGCAATGCCTAAGACTCCCGGCAGCCACGTGCTCTCTTGCCCTCAGTCCGCAGGAAGCGCAAGTGATGCTTTTGCTGGGTGAACTCGATGGGCACCCAAATCCTAGGGCTCCATCCCACCCACCAGCCAGCCTGTACGGCCACGGAGGAGGCGATCAGTCGACGTCTTCCGAAAGAAAGACTGTGAAAGGTGTTATGTAAAAGAAGCCCTTTAATAGTAGGTCCTATGAGACCTGAGGTTCGGTAATGCATTGCTTCCCCTACAATCTCGATCCGCTGAAACCCCCAAACTCTAGGATTCGTGCGCGTCTCTTTCGCTTCCAGGTCATCGCCGGGGCAGCAGCTGCCACGGTCGTTCTAGTCGGAACCTCACGGCCCGCCCGCGTCGGGGAAGTGCTGGCAGAAGCTGACTCGGCGGCGGCGGGACGCGGGGCGTGCGGGGCGCCGGGAGGCCAGGCCGGCCGGCCTTTTCCCCGGCCTCCGCGGTCGTTGGAAACGCTGCTTCGGGCGCATTTCCGGGAAATTATTGGGGGAAGGGCAGGTGGTCCGTCACGTGAACGATTAAAAGTTGCTACCCTGGGTGTGGGGGGGAATAGGGAAAAGAAGGACTGGCTTTAGGAGGTGGGCTGGAAACTACAAAACCGAGCTTCTTGGGAATGCCTGTTAGTCTAACAGGAAGTGAAGCGTCACCGAAAGGGAGGGGCGGCCACTCGGGGACTGTGCCCCGCTCCAGGCGCTCACTTTGCGGGCGGCGCTTTTTCCAGGTTGTTAATCCAGCGCGTGAGGAGAGGTAGGTGCAGGCTGCTCGGCTTAGGAAAGAACGAAAATGAGCGAGCGAGACGGCCCTTCCGTTTTATGATAACCACGCTGCAAGCAAATAAATTGACTAGCCCCACTGCAATCTCTTGCACTCAAGGTAAGGAGACGGCAAAATGCTTGCTCTAGTGGGTTTTTTTGTAGTGAAGGTAGGACCGTGTTTTGCTCTCGTTCTTGGAACTTTGTGTGCGTGTGTGGGGTAGTAATTCGGTGGTTTTATTTTTGAAAATACGTACTTATTCTACCATTTAAAGAAATGTTCATGTTAATAAAAACCTGCTATGTAAAAACAGCTAGGTTCCAGAAATTAAGTTCTGGGAAGATTATTTTTGTCTTTGCCTTTTTAGCATATATTTTATTAATTTAAACATAGAAATATTTTCAATTAGTAGCATTTACCTTTTTTTTTTTTTTTAAGGAAGCTTTTATATTAAGGCTTTGAATTTTGCTCTGCTGCACTGCTGAGGAACCAAACATTAATTGGGTGCAAACTAGGTAGTTTAAAGATAAATATTTCCATGGAAATTGGGTTTTTCTCCCAAACTGCTTTATTTCAATATAACTTGGGGTGGGGGGAGATATATAGAAACAATCAAATTTCAGAACTGATTTCCAGCATTCTCCTAACTCACAAGGTCAGCTGCAATTTGATCCTGTATTTTTGTATTGTGCCTTTGAAAATAAATTTTCTATTTTATCCAGTCTTAATACAAATTAGAAATTGCTCAACTGGTTTATGGAAAAACCTACATTAGCCCATTTCAAACAGTTTTGAAATCTGTTAGAGAAATTGAAGTTTAATTTCAATTACATCAGTTTCAAGAGACTCCCAAATTACCCTACTCCACACCCCCAAAGATATGAAATAGTATATAAGTATTCCCATGAGGATCTTCTTTCAAAAAACGGCAATGCTACTTCACATATTTCAGTCTTGGATAGTGTAATGACCAAATTCAAAACTAAAGGCATTTTATTTGCAATATAAACGTGTAGATGGACACTATTTAAATCAGGAAAGGTTCTATGAGTGGAAAATGTTAGACTGTGCCTCACTTCTTTTGTCATTTTGAAATAATATTTGTCCCTTACATGTTAACCTATGTATGTTACCACATCAAAGTTTGTTTCTTTCATTCACTGAGTAGTCATTTAATGACTGTCAACTATGTGCCAGGCTTTGTGCTGGGCACTGGGAGTACAAAGCCAGATAAGTCGAAGTTCTTTCCCTGGTGGAATTTTACAGAGAGAAGCTGATATGAAGAGAGGGGGGTTGTGACAGGGATATCAATCCAGTGTTTTAGAACTGTGTATGTTTAAGATCTACACAAGGAATGTCCTTGCAGTAGTGAGGGAAGGGACATCTATTACTCAATGAGTCTTTCTGTATATACCAAGCCATTCCTTTTGCCTCTACAATAAGTCATATCATGGAAGAACATGACTTTGGAAGACCAAAAATGATTCTTCAGCTCTACTCACATGGTCAGTATCTTGCAAGTCTCCGGTGAAATGCAATATTTTGAAAGTCTCCAATCAGAATTCTTAATTCCTTTATATATTATAAGATTAAGTGAGTTTATAAGATTATAAGATATATATAGTAATAGATATTTTTAAACTAATAAATGGATTTTCTACCCTGAACTTTTAAACATTTATTTATATCATCTCCTACCAATTAATTGCATTAGGTTAGCTATGCAGACTCTATGGGGGACAAAAAACCCCAGCTGCTCAGACGTGTGATTGAGGACTGTGAAAAAGGCAAACAGAGAGAATTAAGGGGCAGAAGCTCATCTCCGGCCTTGGTTCTAGCTCCTTTTGGGCAGTAATCAGCAAGCCATTGGAAAGACGCCATCTGTCATTTCTCAGTAATCAACCCTGGCATTTATCTGCAACCTTCTTTTAGACCCCGTGGTTTTTTCAGTGCTTGAAATTGAATGCCCTGGGAACTGTTGGTGAAAAAATGAGTTGTAATGGGGGCTAAGACTACTGGTACATATAAATCTAGAAATTGAATACAAGTGCAAATTGCTAACATGTTCAAGGTTTTGTTCCAAGGCCTGTATCCTCTGGTTACACACGTGTAATCATTAGATAGTTGCGGTGATGTGAGTTTATTCTGCTTCTAAACCCTCAAGAGAAAGGCCTAAACAAAAATAAAGCAGTGTTAGCATCAACCTCATGGGAAGCCATCATCTACCTCTAAATTAATTTTTAAAACACAGAATAGCAAATTTTAATTTTTAAAATAATTCAAAGCTTATGAACAATGGCATTAAAAATATTGGTTTTTTTAAAAAAATTTCCTGATGTTTAACAAAAGCATCACAGAAAATTGTTTGATTTCCCTTAATAGTGCCAAGAGAGCCTGTTCCTATCATTCACTGAAGCCACAAGGAAAATTTTTTAAAAATTAAACTTTAACGTAATGAGGTAAGTACCAGTATTTTTTCGGGGGGGGGGGTTGTTTAATTGTGGTAAAATATATGTAAAATATGTAATCTTAATCATTTTTAAGTATACAATTAAGTAGTGTTAAGTATTTTCACATTGTTATGCACTCAATCTCCAAAACTTTTTTATCTTACAAAACTGAAACTTTATATCCCTAAAAAACTGTCCATTTTCTCCTACCCTCAGTCCTGGCGACCACGATTCTTTCTGTTTCTATGAATTCGACTGCCGTAGATACCTCATTATAAGTAGAATCATACAGTATTCATCTTTTGGTGATAGGCCTATTTCATTTAGCATAATGTCCTCAATATTCATCAATGTTGTGGCATGTATCAGAATTCCCTTCTATTTTAAGACTGAATAATAATATTCCATTGTATAAATATATCACATTTTCTGAATGAATTATCCATTCATCCATCAATGGACATTTGGGTGGTTTCTGCCTTTTGGCTATTGCAAATAATGCTACAGTTAACATGGGTGAAGTACCAGTACTTTTATCTAAGAAAAATTATTTCCTATAGAGGTATTTTTGTTTCCTTGGACACAAAAGTTCTTACTTGAACCAGGGTCTTAGAAAATACTGTAAGACCTCTTTTAAGTTCTTTGGAATAGTAGTCCAGGTTATAGAATGAAGTCAATAACTATAATGTTGAAATATTCTTGTAGACTAGAACAAAGCTGAAAATAGAGACTATGTAGAAGACACGGAAAATACAAAGTGGCTCAAGTGTGAGAGTCTGGACTTTGATTCTGACCTGCCACTCTTCTGTGGCTGAGGAAAAATTATTTAATACTGTATTCTTGAGTTCAGCTGTCGCATCTACAAAATGGGTGGATATATTTTATTTCTTTTCTTTTTAAAGATTTGAAACCTGGATCTCTGAGGTATTGTGTAACATGAAGGGAGAAGAACTTTGACGACTTTCGACTTCCGTTGCTGTTGCTAAGCTCTGTGAAGGCAGAAACTGGGTCTGCCTGCCCAGTACCAGCCCAGTGCCTGATGGTGCTGGGCACTTGGTAGGCACCTCAAAATATCTACTGACATAAATATTGTCCTTCTCCTAATAAAGTGAAAAAACTCACATGAATTGGGATTGGTTCCATCTTAGGTTTGATATCTAAAAATAGTTATGTCATAATTCATATATATGAAATCTGTTTCCGTTAGAGAAATGATTTTGGAATATGAGCTTTTTGCTGAAAACCAATATTGGGTAAAAGGGAGAGGGTTACATAGAATATTCTAGGGATCTGTTGCCTAACAAAATAGGGTTTCAAATGAGAAGCTCCAGTATCTGGAATGGTAAAAGTGAAATATTTGCAGATGTACTTGGTTTCTTTTTGACCCATTTCTGGAACTCATTTTGCATGGCACTGTACTGAGCTAAAAATGCCTTTCTATTTCTAGGCTTTCTTAGGATGCATTGACTCCTTGGATCCTATGAGTCATGGATGTTCCTCTTAGGAATAAGTCCACTCTTACTTCTGCCCTAATATATGTCCATTGGATTGGTCATCTCCAAACTCATTATCGTCACCATCATCGTCATCATCAATAGCTACAATTAATTGACAATTTCAGGAGAAAGGTGCAAGGCTAGAAAGAACGTTTATCCAGCAGAATTCAGACCTGTGCATTTTGAAAGTAGAGAGGACCTCATTGTCTCAGTAACAAATGGCTGGATTGAAGGAGGCAGGCAATGCTTTAAGACTCTAAATAATATTTCCATGTTATTTCCCTGTATATCAATGATAATAAAGCAAACTGTCATTAATTGGTAGTAGCTGCCTGAAGCAGTGTTGAGAAGGAATCCTTTGTGTAGGAAAGGAAAAAGGAAAACTAAAAAATGCCAGGACTGATGACCACCTTTTGCCATGGAAAAGGGAGTAGGATTGAGGAGGGAAATACACAAGTACTTAGTATCTGATATGCCTGTTTTAAATGCTGCCTTTGTTCATTCTAACCTGATTGACCTCTAAAGAAATGGCTCACTCAACCTGGCTTTCAGGAGGAGGACTTGATATTTAATGTAATCAGTACAAAGATGCTTTCCTCACAGCGTGGAGTGAGACATGACATGTTGCAGCAGCATCTATCTATTCAACTCTGATATTGAAGTCCATATAGCTATTTCTCAATATGTTTTAGCAATTCTGTTTCAGAACCATAGTCTCAAAAGTGTACTAAGGGCAGGACTAGTCCTTCTAAATAACAGAATTTGAATTGGCTATCAATAGTCATATATATATGCAGCCAGTTATATTGTCAATAGAAAAGATTGATTGATTTAACCCTAATAGCTAGTCCATAACACAGTTGATCCAGATTGTAGTCATCTAAATCATCCATTCATATCACTGTATAATTGGTCATAAGTCCAGCAAGATCACAAGATGAATCTGTGATACTACATGGAATATTTTATTATAATTATAAATCTATTCCTGCCTTTTCTACTATATTTATTATTAACACAAAATAATTTACACTATTTTGATGTAGTGAGACTTGTGAAAAAAGTAACAAGAGTTAAGAAGAATCTTGTAAGAGTAGATGGGCCATTTAGGAAAAAAGGGAGGGGAAATCAGTTAGGAGGGAGAAGATAGAATTGGTAGAAGATGAGAAATGCTGTATGGCATTTCTAAAATAGCAGTATAAAGAATGAATTTCCTGAATGTGGGTAAAATCCTAAAGTCAAAAACTCTTCCAAGAATGCAATATAGCACCTGGAAAAGACTTGTGAAAAGTGCCCTTTCATGTTCTATTTCTGGCATTTTGTATTTTACAATGAAGTAAATTCTAGTTTATGCTACTTAAAATGTCAATGGAAAAAGCTTACTATGGGCAGTACTGAACTGATTTAGTCAGTGTGCTGACTTCAATTTCTTTTTCTGTTGATGGTTCTGTAGTCCATAGTTTTTGTCACTTTGTGAACCCAAACTAAATTTTCATTTCTCAACTAGGTAAGACTATTTGTCTGTTTAAATCATGTATGCTGTGTGCCAGATTAAGCTTCTGGTCACCATGAAACTGTTAAGCCTCCTAAACCTCCTTGGGGAAATTCACAAGGATGTTACTATCTAACAAATGATGCTTTTCCCTCAAGGCAAATCAGCTCATTCACCAGGAACTTCCATAGAAACAGGGATGTTCAAAGACATTTAATGCAGAACATCTTTGAAAAGATGTGAAAAAAAAATCAGAGATCTGGATGTCTTTTACTTATCAAGTGACTTGGCCACAGAACTGAAAGTAGAAAGGTAGCCTGTGTAGTCTGTGCTTAAGGTCACATCCCATGACTTGCTCTTGTAGTCACCAGTTGGGTGGTGACCCAGGTCTTTTATGTAGGGAAGGGTTTCTTGGGTACTGGCTAGTCTTAATTCAGCCTTAATTTGCATTTAATTTGAATTTATTCTGTTAAAGTTTCAAGTAGCCATTGAAGTTTAGGACAATTTAAACATAAACATCCTCATTCCATTCAGCTACCAAGAGTTGTGAACACAAAAAATGGGCCATACACTGTTCTGGATTATGAAGACTGGCAAAAACTGCCCTCAAGGTACATTCAGCATAGTCGATAGTTACAATATCTGAAAATAAGGGCTAGTAGCACTGTATTCAGAGTTCATTGGAACACTGAGGATGGAGAATGGTGGGGGAAACATTCACAGGCGAGATGATATTTGGAAGAGACTTGAGGGGCAGGGAGTAGGAGTTGGTTAGATATAGAGAAGGAAGGGCTTTGTGGGGAGAGAACATGTACTGATACATCGTCATCAGCTCACTGCGTGTAGGTACCATTGAGGGCAAAGTCCTTATGGAATTTGGCACCACATTCTCCTTTGCCTCAGTTTGAACAGTGTCTGTCATCTGCAGCCATAAACCTGGCCAGAAACTGCTTCCAACTCTCTTTGTGCATGTTCATAGGAGAAAAGCCTAGGTTCTGAATCCGTCTCTGCATTCCACCTTGTAAAGATTTTATCTCTTGGCAGCTGAGGACTGTTTCTGAATATCTGTGTTCTGTAATCATCAGTTTGTAGGCAAGTGCATATTCTGCAGGATGAGCCAGGGGAGAAACAATCTATGGTATGAGGCAAGTCTCTTAATGAAATGGCAGAATAGTTATCGTTCTTCTACCATCTGTGGCATCAAAATAAAAATGACAGCTTCTCATTGTACAGCACCAAGCTGCTCATTCCTTTTCTACCTCATGAGTCAGAGGACAAACTAATCTTTGTTCATGCTGTGCTGTGGCATATTTGTTTTCAGCTTCTCTCTGGGTAGTTATTGCTTTTTCAGTTGGAAGGAACTAGTCCTGAGAAAAAAATTCTTCAACAGTATTCTTTCTAGAGAACGTGGATAGATGATATAGTAAATAACTGAATAGCAAGTCTTTGAAAAGTCAAATTGCCCAGTCCATTTAAAGACATACATGAAAGAATTTGTACTGTTGTTTAATAGACTGTGTATTGCTTTCTTACTCTTATGTTCACATTCAACAAAATTTCTTATAGTTTCAGATAATACTCTTTCCTAAGCTACTTCAGTTCTCAGATATTTAAATATTCCTGACATTATGACCTAGCAATTCCACTCCTAGGTATACACTTGAGAGAAATGAAAACATGTTCACATAAAAACTTGTGCACAAATGTTCGTAGCAGCATTATTCATAATAGCCAAAATATGGGAACGACCCAAATGTCCAGCAACCGATGAACAGATGAACAAAATGTGGTATATCTATACAATGGAATGGTATTTGGCAATAAGAAAATGAGGTACTGATACATGCCTCATGATATAGACCGCACAGATGAACATTGAAAACATGCCAAGTGAAAGAAACCAGACATAAAGGCCATGTATTCTATGATTCCATTCATATGAAATGTTCAGAATAGGCAAATCCTTGAGACAAAGTAAACTAGGGGTTTGGAACGGAGGTTTGGGCTTGAGGGAAGTAGAAATAGGGAGTGACTGCTAATGGGTCTGGGGCTTCTTTTTGGGGTGTTGAAAATGTTTTGAAATGAAATTGTGATGGTTGCAAACCTCTGAGTATATTAAAAGCCACTGAACTGTGTACTTTAAATGGGTGAATTTTATGGTATGTGAACTCTGATTAAAGCTATTTCTAAAAATCTCCAACAAAACAAGTATGAATTTTTATATTAATATTATTTGCAGGTAACTCAGTGACAGTCTTGTGTATTAAATTTTTGATAACATCCTTACAGAATTTCCCATAAGGAAGTGGAAAGAGTCATGGACTATGCCATCAGATCTAGATTCTTGCCCTGGCTCTGCTGCTGATTAGCCACATGCAGCTGCATGACCTTAGGAAGTTTCTCATCCCTGGACCTTGGGTTCTTTATCTATGAAACAAGGAAATTGGCTTAGGAGGGCTCTGAGGTGCCTTTCAGCTCTCTGAGTTTATGTGTATGTGCAATGAGATATATAATTATTGGGGCAGTTTTAGAGACATGGCTTCATCCCTGTTGTTTGAGGATAAACAATAGCAGTGGGTTTTTCAGAGACCTTCTCACTAGAGTCCTCCTCATGTTCAAGTGTGTCTTAATAGGGCAACTTATGTGTAGAGCAGGGTTTCTCAACCTTGGCATTATCAGCATGTTAGGCCAGGTAATTCTTTGTTGTGGGGGGCTGTCTTATGCACTGTGGGATATTTAGCAGCATTCCTGACATCTACCCACCAATTAGTGATCGTATCTCCCTTTCAGTTATGAAAATCAAAAATGCCTCCAGATTTTGCCAAGTGTCCCCTGGAGGGCAAAATTGTCCCTGGTTGAAAACCTCTGGTATGGAAGATGCTTGAATAACAATATATCAAAATAATAAAAAGATGTGTTCTCTGCCTATGTGGGACTCTAATTAATTAATAGACACAAAAAATCATTCAAGGAATTTTTGAAGGGGAAAGATTTTTTTGTTTTGATGACATTTACTGTGTTTACCAAAGTTATATTTGATCTTCTGGGAGAATGACAGGAAGGGAATAGACTAAGCTGTTAGAGGCTTTTTGGAATGAGGCAGAGTGTCAGTAAATATATAGAGACTTAACTTTAAAAAGGAATAACCAAAACCTAAAGGAAAAGTTAGGAATTGAGGGCAAGAGAACTGGGAAGTTCTTTCATTTACTTTTTGGGTCTTCCCAAGTAAGACATAGGTCATCCAGATGTGTTTTTTCTCCTATCTCCTGTTCAAAGCTTGAAGCTGTGAATTAGATGATGGGTTTGGAACTTTCTCTAGAAAAATACAGAAGAAAGCTATAAACTGTGAAATCTATATGGCCATGAAGTCATCATTACCCTCCAAACTGTATTGATGCTGTTTCTAATGGGCCTACAATAGAGTTCTATACTTTAACTATTCTTAAAGTACAGTGTGCCACTTGCACTGCAATCTGTAAAGTCCTTGCTCTTCTTGCTTTTCTATGCAAACTAAAAAATTCACATAATTGTATCAGGCTGCATTCTTTAATAAATACCACATGAAATATTTACACTGTGTTTCTAAGGACATAAATTATTCATATTTCCCGAAACCTTTCTGATACAGGTAAAATGGGGGATTAGAAGCTATCTGAAAGAGGAAATTTCTGTGATGGGTCCAGGGGATAAATTCCTACTTAAAAGTATAGATGAAACTGAAGCAGTCACTCATGAGTGTCACCAGTGTATATTTATAGCAAGCTATAGTAATTAACTTTCATTACTTTTTCTAGACTAAAACTTTGAGGTAATAAGTTATTAGTGTCCACTTTAGAGAATAGAAACAGTTCTATGTAAGTTTTATAATATGCTATTCCTACTCAGCAGCAGAAAATAAATATGAAGACCTCAATCATGGTATACTTTAATTGTCAAAGTGATTCTTTACTCTGAGTGCTTGTATCTGGCCATTTTTATGTAGAGCTGAAATATGTTTTATGGGATCTGCTTTTGATTCAATATTAAAAGGATTTTCAAGGACTTTGAACCAAGATTATTAATTCATAATGGCCCGTCTTTGGTTGACTACATTAACAGTAGGTGTTGTTTTAGAAAGAGGGTACATAAAATGAAAACATTGTACTCTAAAGCCTTAAATTACTGTCCTTGAAAAATAATCATGGTAAAGCTGAGGTTACTTTGAAAATAATTCATTTTATTCATATTTTAAGAGTGAGGCCATGATAGAAGGGGAAACACAAAATTTCTCTTCTTAATAGAACAAACTACAGAGAAAGTCCAGAACAAATACCCTTGAAAGCTCTCTGAAAAGCTTACCATTAGGTAGCACTGCTCTTCAGTTCTGAACTGTTGAAAAGTGAGAGCTGCTGAATGGCAATGACCTTTCCCTGTCCTTGTGAATAAGCTCTTCCTTTTGCTTGCATGTGGCCTCAGCACACTCTCGTATCATGAACTGTATGCCCCTGTCCTCAGAATTCTCCATTCTCCTAAACTTCAAAGGAACATGTTAAAAATGTGGCTTTTATGGTCTTTCTATGTCCTTGAACTATATAGAGAGAAAACTTTTTGCAATTATGAAACATACCTCATTACATGAAACAAGGTCCCGGGAACATGTTGGTCACTAACCCAACCAACTGCCAAGTCTCCTTGGTAAAAAAAACATAAAAGGTTGATTTGACATCATTTGGAAAGTAAAGTGAGATTTAGTTCGGAATATAGTATTTTATTAGACAGGAAAATTTAGCCTTACAGTCTTAGGATTGCCTGTGGAATGACAGCCTAGCTGTAATTGCCTGACTTCAACCAAAGGAAATGAAATCAAGAGCTTAGATATTTCTGTGTATGTATATACACAGTGTACTTTTCCAAGAGATGGGAAGAACCAAAAATAAAATGTACAGAGGCAGTGTTATACCAAGAAGGACAGTGACAGTGGCTCTTTATACTAGCTTACCATACCTTTGGTTAGCAGTGAGAAATTTTTTCCAGCTTTATTGTATTTTTCTGTATTAAGCAATAGATGAGAATATCTGTTTATCAGATAGCCTAAGAAGAGAAATTATATCAAAAGTGGTAAGACAGGATAGACCATGGATCAATTAAAGCCCTCAAAAATAATATACATTATGCTTATTACATTCTTATTTCATCTTTCTAAGAAATCTATTTTTTTCTTAAAGCTATTTTAAATATGTTATTTAAAAACTCCTGGTTAATTTTTGTTTCCAGTCTTTATATAAGTAAATTTCTTTGAATGGTTCATTTTCCTCATTTCTGGCTTTTCTACTTGAGTAGAGTAGTAGAATAGATCCAGGATATGCTGAAATGGATGTGAAGACTAAGTTGACAAAATACAAAATAAGGACCTAAAAGGCTTACGGAGGCTTGTGGAAGAGTTAGTAGTCTGAAATCAGAAGCACAAATAGCAGAAGAATAGAAGACAGAAACAACTGAAAACCAACAGTGCTATAGCAGGAGGCAGCAAGTAAGGAAATGAAATTTTACTGGAAGCCAGGGAATCAAGAATTGCAGGTCTCTGTAAAACTATATGTGAGATTTAACCTTTTGTCATATAAGTGAGGGATTTGATTATATAAAAACTTTTGACCAGTGAATATCTAGGCCATACGTATCAATTACTTGTTCACTACTATTCTGTAGCCATCTCTGGAAAATTCTTTAGGTGTAGTAAGGAAGATGGGAGAGTATACATCTGATGATAATGCCTTATGATCTGTCCTGTGAGAGAGGAAGCTTTGGAAGCTCAAGAGCCTACCTTCAGTTCAACCTGGATTTGAATCCAGGAAGTACAGCCCCAAACCTCATAATAATGAACAGCCTGGGGTCTAGGGGCAGATTTTCCTGGTGGATATCCTAGCTTCATTACTTACATTCTTTAGAAATTTGGGGAATGTTATTTAATCTCTGTAAGCATCTAAACTATTAAATGGGAATAACAATAGTAAAGAATAAATTAGATCCCATCACACTCCTGATTAACACCTTCCAGTGGCCTCCCATCTAACTTAGAATAAAATGAATACTCCTTATTGAGGCTAAAAGGGCCCCACGTGATCTGGCCCTTGCTTATCACATCATTCTGTGATTTATTGTCTTCAATTCTCTTTTGAATTTATTTGTTTCTCTCTCTCCCTTTCATCTCCTCTGCTACAAACAGCAGACATCTTGTCTGTCTCATTAAATGCTATATCCATAGAACCTAGAACAGTCCCTGCCACAAAGTAAGTGCTCCGTAACTATTTGTTGAATGAATAAGTACATACTATGGCATATCACACACATAGTGCAGGACCTAATAAGTAATAAACTCATGATAGTTTTTGCCACTTTATGTCTTACAGTTCTGCATATGATTTTATTTGGAAATAAGTTAGCTGCTACCAAAATGTAAGTTTAAAAACAGTGTTTTACTAAGGGAAATATAATCTCATTTGAAATATAACCTCAATTCCAGATTTTATTGATAAAATGAGAGCAAATTTTAAAATGGTTTAATTCTTCCAATTTGGTGCATATAAAGTTTTTGTCTGCAACTGCAAAACAAGCAAGACCAGAAGGGAAGGAATATTAGACTATACTTTTTATCTCTTGGGCCAATTCATGTTATCAAAGAGGAAGGAAGAACTGAATTTGAATCAACTAAAATAAGATTGATCCCTCTCCTCATTGAAAAACCAGAAAAACACAGTGACTGGTGAGAAGGCTAACATTCTGTGTTTCATTTCCATTTCTACTCTAGGTGTTGCCACATCTGTAAACTTCCTGGGAGAGTAATGGGGATCCGAGTGCTTCGTTTCTCTCTGGTGGTCATCCTCGTGTTACTCCTGGTAGCTGGCGCTTTGACTACTTTACTTCCTAATATCAAAGAAGACAAGATGCTCATGTTGCGTAGAGACATAAAATCCCAGGGCAAGTCCACCCTGGATTCCTTTACCCTCATAATGCAGACGTATAACAGAACAGATCTCTTATTGAGACTTTTAAATCACTATCAAGCAGTACCACATCTGCACAAAGTGATCGTGGTGTGGAACAATATTGGGGAGAAGGGACCAGATGAGTTATGGAATTCTCTGGGGCCTCACCCTATCCCTGTGATCTTCAAACAACAGACAGCAAACAGAATGAGAAATCGACTCCAGGTCTTCCCTGAACTGGAAACCAATGGTGAGTAGCAGCTGCGTTCTCAGCCTAGGAGGGCTGCAGCTAACCAGAGCTGGGGTGGGTATGCACTTTTCTACTTGCCTTAACTGTCTGGAGAAAAATGAGAGAAGTTAATCAAAAGAAACCACTTTGGAAACCTTGAGGGGTGATTTCCACTATTGCTAGAAGCAGTTTCCTAGAAAGGAAATCACATACATCTTGCAACAAATGACAACGAGGTTAATATTGCAAAAAGGATATGCTATAATTACATGTTATTGCATTACACCAAGTAGTAAGATGCCATTTAGCTTATGCTTAATATATTTTTGCCACTCCCCTTTTCCTCCCATTTGTAGCAGTTTTGTGAGGTTGTAATTTGCTTAAAAGAATCCTAGCTTTATTTATGTATAGATTTCATAGTTTCTAGGGTGATAGATGCTACATGATTATTTGCCCCTCAGGCAATTATAAAATCAATTACAATTCCCCAAAAAATATCTACTGGGCAAATTTTTCCAAGAATATATTTCTTATTTACTAATTTGGTCAGAAAATACTTCATTTGAATGATATGTATGGACACTATTGTATCTTATTAGTTGTGTTTTCCAAACTGTTAAGTTTAATTTTTTTTCTTTTCATTTCAGCGGTATTAATGGTAGACGATGACACACTCATTAGTGCCCAGGACCTTGTTTTTGCCTTCTCAGTTTGGCAGGTAATGTTGCTATCTCCTTTATGAATCCTTCTGTATAAAATCTTATCTGGTGCTTAGGTAGGGCAACATGGTTTAATGTGAGAGTTACCCAAAACAGTGTGGGCAGTATTTATCTAAAAGGCAGATCAATTTGTTCTAGGCTAATCAGGATTTCCTGAGCTTAATTAAGCCATCCTGAAAGTTTTGTTATCTTTTATCTATATTTAATTTATATGGTTGTGTACTGGGGAGAAGAGCTAGAATTATCTTCCAGAGAACAACGAGGAAATGATCTGGTATGGCAAAAACTAGAATGCAGAGATATTTTCCACAGGCCACAGATGTGTCTCAAATGAGAAATGTATTTCTGTATTTATACTGTATATAACTTTTTATAAAAGAAAGCATTGATTACCTCCACAAAATTTAATCCTGATTCTGAGACCATTGTTTAGAAATTTGGCAGTAATCATTCTACATGCACCATGGTATCAGCAAGTTTTTTGTTTTGCTTTTTTCAGAATTCTAATTTGAATAAACAGGCATAAATTGCTCCCTAGCCTATAAAAGCAGCTCTCTCCTATTGAATATGTATTAATAACAGCTGACTTTTACAAGTTGCCCTACTATTTCCTGAAACCAGAACTGTGTACAAATACTCCGAAGCCCTGTCAAATAATTAAACACTACTACCCAATTTATGGCCTAATTTGTACTATAGTAACTTTTTAAATTAGCTACTTGGGATATAACACCATTAGATATTAATAGTAAGGGCTCACAATACTCTGTAGATATCAGCATTTTAAAAACTGTAGTTTCTAACTTCATGCCTAGTGTACTGATCAACAAATTGAAAATTTTCCATACCAGCAGTTTTTTCCAGCCCAGTAAATAAAAGCTTCTTAGGCGAAAAGTTCTAATGTGATACTTCAGCTGTGAGATTTCTATTTAAGGTGAAAAAAATCAATTTACCCGAAATGTAAACAGGGGATGCAGAATACAGGGATTATGGTTAATTAGAATAGCAATTAAAGATGTATTAATATGATTTTTGGATTTATTTATAAAAATATCGAAACCAATCTTAATTCATTGACCAAGATGACCTGACTCCTTAAATTCGGTCCGCCCTGTATCCTGCATAGTGTAATGACTTGGGTTTTGTACGTAAGCAAGCAGAACTGGAGTAGATGTCCACCTCTGCCTTTCGTACTGGCCCATGACCTTCACTTTCAGTGCTTTCCCTTTGCTCCTCTAGCCATCTGTGACATTTCTTTTGCTCTCCTAGACTGTGTAAATGGCACATCTTCCCCGAAGCCACCCAGCCTTTACCCCCATCCCTTGACCTTCCCCTGGGCCTCCCAGCAACACAGTTGTCCTTCTGTCCTCAGTGTTCCCATCAGATTTACCCAGGTGTATTTACAACTTCCTCTCAATATTGTAATTCCTCTTTCACATACCCCTGTCATACTCTCTCTAGACTATAAGTTCTTTGAAATGGAGTGAAACTCAGTTACTTTGTGTGTGTGTGGAGGGCTGTGTGTGTCCCTAGTTCATTGTCTATTCAGTAAATGAATGAAGCTCAAATTATTTATGAGAGTGAATTAAACTTTTCAACCCGGTAAGTCCTTACCTCTTTCCCATGCTTCAATGTTTTTCTTTTGTTTGCTGATTGTTGTTTTATTTTTAGTCTCCCCTTAATATGATTATATTTTGCTACCATCTATTCCTTCCTCAAAGATACTGACACATCACTCTCACATATGTATAAATTCATATTTATATTTATTTATTTATATGATCTCCTATTTTTAAAAAAGAAATGCCCAATTTTGAAAACGATAAAATATAACATTATTTAAAATCAAAAGTGGCTTTTAAGAACACTGAAATCAACATGAAAAACAGTAAAATCATACATGTAAGCCAGGCACAGTGGCTCACACCTGTAATCCCAGTGACTTGGGAGACTGAGGCAGGAGGATCTCTTGAGGCCAGGGATTTGAGACCTGCCTGGGCAACAAAGTGAGACCCCCTTCTCTAAAAAAAATAAGAAAAGTTAGTTGGGCGTGGTTCAGGCTTATGGTCCCAGCTACTCAGGAGGCTGAGGCAGGAGGATTGCATGAGCCCAGGAGTTCAAGGTTACAGTAAGCTATGATTGTGTCACTGCACTCCAGCCTAGGCAACAGAGTGAGACCTGTCTCTAAAAAAATTAAAAATCATACATGTGGGTCCATAATTTTAAATATTCCTAAGAGATTAGAATAGTTTTTCAAAATAATCACATTATGTCTTATTTCCTATAATAAATAGCACATCATGTAGTCAACTTTTCTTGCCCCAATTCCAGTAACCAAAGAGTTTAGTTCTTCAGAATTTCCTATTTGTTAATATCAGATAATGTTTGAATTAGGAGAATATTTGTAAGGTTAGGAAGTTTGTTTTCAGAGAGACTTGGGTTGTGATGGAATTTGATCAGTAGACTTACCAGGACACAGATTTATGATGTTGCCTGGAATTAGATGAAATTGAGATGTAGAAACCAGGAATAAGGAAAAGTTGACAAGTTAGTTTCATTCTCTCATAATAAGTCATTTGCCTTTTTCACTGTGTCTTCTCTAAAGAAATGCCATACTTAATTGTTCTTTCTTCCCTCTTTTCAGCAATTTCCTGATCAAATTGTAGGATTTGTTCCTAGAAAACATGTCTCTACTTCATCAGGCATCTACAGTTATGGAGGTTTTGAACTACAAACACCAGGTTTTGGAAATGGTGACCAGTACTCTATGGTTCTGATTGGAGCCTCATTCTTCAGTAGCAAATATCTTGAACTTTTTCAGAGGCAACCTGCAGCGGTCCATGCTTTGATAGATGAAACTCAAAACTGTGATGATATTGCCATGAATTTTATCATTGCTAAGCATATCGGGAAGACTTCAGGGATATTTGTGAAACCTGTAAACATGGGCAATTTGGAAAAAGAAAGCAACAGTGGCTATTCTGGAATGTGGCATCGAGCTGAGCACTTTCTGCAGAGGTCTTATTGTATAAATAAGCTTGTTAATATCTATGATAGCATGCCCTTAAAATACTCCAATATTATGATTTCCCAGTTTGGTTTTCCATATGCCAACCACAAAAGTAAAATGTAAAAGTAAAGCCAACAAAAACAAACCTGAAAACTGCTTGGTATTCGAGTAGCTTCTCCATGCTATGTATTTTTTTTTTTTTTTTTAAGCAACGTCATGAACTTTTATCTACTCCAGAAGTCTCTACAGTAGAAAATAAAGTACTGTGCATCTGGGATATAAAATTCACAATAACTTCACAAACCAGGAAGCCAATCTTATCCAGATAAGATTGATAAGAAAACACCTTCTTACTGGGCATTTTCATTCATGGATAATAATAACTTCTCGGTCAGCAATTTTATTGTTTACATTCTGAGACTGTTCTACGATTTCTTTGACTCCAGGCATTTGCCTTAAGGACCTACAGCCAGCTTTTCCAGGATCAGAAACTCAAGAGAGGCATTTCGTGACTTTTCCACTAAAGGTTGATTGTTCTAATTTGAAACCTGAAATGCCTCTTTAGCAAAAGCCTGTGTTGTAGGGAGAAGCCATGTGAAAATAGTTTCAGTCCCATCTGAAAACAAGAGGGATATTTGCAGCTACCAGTGCTTCGTTTGTGGCCCTTCCAAACAACTCTTCCAAGACTTAATAGCCCAGCATGGTTCTGATAAAACTGTCAGTGCTTTTATTTTTGTTGATTAGTCTGTTGTGACTGGTAGGGTTAATTTTAGTAGCTGGAGGATGTCTAGTTGTTTGCTTGATTTTTGTGAACACTTACTGCATGAAGCACAAAACAATGCAGCCTGTGTTTCTTTTATGCAGCTTATATGCAGCAAGGAGTGTGTTACTAGATTCAGGTAGTGCACTTTGTCACTGAATCTGACCTTGAGAATGTACATTAATTCTTATATTTTACATAAAGTATGTGTTATTTAAGAAACATGTATATAAAAACTTCTGAAAAAGTAAGTAACTGGCAGAAGTTAAAACCCTTAGTATCAAAAGATCTTTATTGTTAGAGCATAGATTAATTATCTCATGGATACTAAAAAGTTGTGTGTATTACACACAATGCCAAACACTTGCATTCAGAAGCTTTTTTTCCCCAAAAAACATCCCAGGTACTATTCATCATGATAAAATTTAAAATACATAGATACAATAAAAAATAAGAACCAAATCATAGCAGAGGAATTCTATAGGGAGTCTGCATCAGTTATTTGTTTAGGTTGCCTGTTCTCTGTTATCTGAGTTAGTATATGTGTTCCACCCATTGTCTGTGTTTAGTCCTTGTTCACTGCTTGTGGCAAGGACTTCTTAATTAGGCCTCTATCTACCACCTTTTCTTCCTTCTCCTTCTCCTCTTTCTTCTTACATAATGTCAGTATATTCTCATAATTGCAAAGCTGTGAGGATATTAAAATAACCATGTTTAATATTCCAGTAATGAGGTCTTTGTGCAGTTAATTCAGTATATGTTGTTTCTTCACATTGGATTGTGTATGTGTCTTAATGCAGTCAGATTGAAAAAAAACTACAAAAGAACTTGTAACCTCACCAAAAATCAGTAATGTCAATTATCTGCTTTGTCCAACATTGGTAGTAGTTTTTTGCCTTTTGGGACTCCACTAATAGAATAAACTTTTACTATCCATGTGTTCTATGTTAATTAAGTAGACTCGTATTTTTGTGGTCAGTGTTTTCACAAATTTCTATATATAATAATATATTGCTGAGAATAAGGTAGAGATATTAACCACAGTCCCCATGGGAAAATTTTCCTTCGGGAAAATTCACAGATTTTATTTCCCATCTTGTGTTTTTAAACTTAAGTGTCACATAAATTTATTAAATGTTTTCAGATGTTATAGAGCAAATATGAAACCAAAGTGCATTTCAGTCTGTATCACAAAGACTTGCATTGTGGGTAGATGCCTAATCATTTCTTACTGAACTCCTCTTGTTCTTGTTCCAAATGATCCAGAGAAGAGATGCTGAAGCTTCAACTGCATAAGAGAAGCAATGTAGCTTAGGATTGTGTACTCTTTGCTATTAGCATTTTTGGGCTCAAATCCTTGCTAAACCTAATATATATTTAACTACTTAGCGCCTCAGTTTCCTCATTTACAAAATGAGAACATTATCTGCCTGGGGTTTGTTTTAAGGAATAAAAGAGATAACTTGCATAAAATAGAGCATAATGCCCTGTTCATTTTGGAAGTTCAATAAATGAAAGCTATTGGGATGCTAGTGTTATTGATAATAAGGGCAAAGTTACTCGTACTGTTCACTAAGGTATTAGAAAGCCCCTGCATCCACCAGGTGAGATATTAAAGAAATTATTTCTACCTAGCAATGGGCAAGGAACAATGACAATTTTATGTCATATTCATTCTGTTTATTTCAAATATCTTTTTTCTTATTAAAGCAATACGTATTTATTCTAGCAATTTTGGCATATTCAGAACAGTATAAAGAAGAAATTAAAATTTTTCTGTGTATTCCTGCAGACTTTTATAGGCATATATTTTACTAGCATGATTTATTTGGTATTTCATTGCATGGATAAACCAAAATTTATGTAATCCATCATACTGCCATTTTATTTCATACTTTTTTACTGTTATAAAAACATTTAGATAAGTGTCTTTGCTTTGAACAGACATCTTTGAGCACATATCTATAATTATTTTTTTAAAATCAAGTCCACAAAAGTTCAATACCTGGATCCATCTAGTAGTATGCATGTTTTTCAGGTTTTTGATATATATTGCTAAATGAACGCCTCCAGGAGTGTTGCCATGGCTACCCTTATTAATGTCACATCTGAGAGCACCTGTTTCCCATCAGTCTTCCCAACATTGCATATTATTTAAAATTTTCTTTCATTTGTTTTTTTCTATGTATAAAATTCTTGAATGCTGCAGGATTTAGAAGGCTGCTTTTTCATAAAACTGTGTTGAGAAGGCTGAAAAGGCAGGCAATCAACTGTCAAATAAAAGATTTGAGGGCAATATAAGCTTCAGGAAGCATTTGAAGTGCTTCTAGAAACTCTTTACTCCATAGTTTACAGTACAGACGATGAATTGCTGACCCTTTCCTGGTCCCAGTAATAAATCATTTGGAAGCAACAAAAAATATTCACACTGTTTCCCTTGGAAAGAACCCAGGGTCAGGAGTGGGTAAGTGTTGGGGAGGCGGGGGAGAGGACGTTCTTCAGTGTGCATGCTTGAGTACATGCACTTGGGAGGGAAGGAGGTAGGGGGTGGAAGTGGGAGAGGCAGTGGAGGGTAATGCTGAGATGGAGGAGAGATATGGAGCACTGCGTCACAAGGCATGCCACAAGGGCTTAAACGGTGACATGGCATCATCCTGGATCTCGTGCCAGTTTGTATTGTTTATTGTCCCACTAGGGTTCTCTCAACTTTCTCTCTTCTCCTTCCCTCTTTTCCTTCCCCCATTCTTCTTCCCTTCCCTGCTTTCCTCCCTTTTCCCTTTCCTGAAGGCCCTCTTAATATAAAACCCCTAAATTTTCGTAAGTATACTTACTGTGGATGAAATGAAAAGAACATCTGATACACTAGAAACACACCCTGAGTCCTGTTCCACTTAATTTCCTTCTCTGCAGAATGGAGATGAAAATATCTGCCCTAAAATTTCATGGGTTGCTTTTGTTTTCAAGGGGCATAATGTATAGAGAGAACTTTGTAGTATCAGGAAAATAAAAGAATTTTTTAATAAGAATTTTTGTAAAAGAACAGCTTAGCTCAGAGTTAAAAAAAACAAAAACTTGGTTGGGAAGTAGTAGCTGTGTCAAAATTATACCTTAGAGCATAAAAAAGCAAGAATAAATATGCAAGAAAACAATTTAAGGAACCTACTTTAGCTGTAGCTCAAAAGGGATATTTAACGAGCCTCTTTCCCTTTTCATATGTCAATATTTCTTTTATTTGAAAAGAAAAAGAATCAAAATTCTTGCTTGGAATATTTTAAGTAGTTTTTTAAAAAAAATCTGAAGAAAGCAGCCTTACTTCATAATGGTGGTTCTTTAGCTGGGCTAATTTTGCCCACCAGGGCACACCTGGCAATGCCTGAAGACATTTTTGGTTGTTACAACTGGGGACATGTTACTGTCATCTAGGGAGTGGAGGCCACTCACTAAACATGGGTCAGTGTTGCTGCTTTTAGGTAAGTGTCTTTGCCTTGAACAGACACCTTTGAGCATATCTATAATTATTTCTTTAAAATCAAGTCCATGAAAGTTCAATACCTGGATCCATCTAGTAGTATGCATGTTTTTCGGGTTTTTGATACATATTGCTAAACACCTCCAGGAGTATTGCCATGATTACCCTTATTAATATCACATCTGAGAGCACCTGTTTCCCATCTATTTAAAACTTTTTTTCTATGCATAAAATTCTTGAATGCTACAGATCTGGAAGGCTGCTCATTCATAGAACATCCTACAATACACAGAATAGGCCTTCACGAAAGAATTATGCATGCCATAATGTCAGTAGTACTAAAGTTGAAGAAAAAGCAAAACCACTTGGCATCATATTGTAGAATATTTGATTAGTGATGTACCTATATAGGACACATTTTATAACAAAGCAAGTTTCATTTTTAAAGTTTTATCCTGTATAACAATGCCTATTGGAGCAGAAAATTAAGGGGGAAATGTGCTTCTATTACTGATAAGACATCACATGCATGATTCTGTGACCCCAACCCGGATCAAAAAGCCAGAAATATCCCCCATTAAGGTTTATTTTTGATCATTCCTTTTTTTGATCCACATGCCTTTTTTTTTCACACATAAAGAAATAGACAACGGAACTTGATTTTCTGGAAAGGACATATGAATGAATATATATTTCTGAGGCACCCCAGAGCAATATTGCATAACACACTGTGTATTTTGATAATGTCTCTAATTAGAGTAAGTCCAGGATGGTTGAGTTAAAATAGCTAAATATAAATTCTCAAAGAAGCATGCATAGGCATGTACTGATTATGTGTGTTCAAATATTTTGGGGCCAAACAAAAAATACACAGCTAGTGAAGACAATTTACATAGGAAATGGGGGAATCAGAGAACTTTTTTCTAGTATCAGCTAGGTGACCAAGTTAATTAAATTTATCTGAGCTTCATTATCCACATCTACAAAAGAGAAGGACAAACAAAATGGTCAGTAAATTTCTTTCCAGTTGTAAAATTCCATGACCCTAAGTCAGCGTGTTGGATTAGTAGATTTTAAAGTAAACATGTTATACTTCCTGGCAAGAAAAAATAATCCCCTAGAATTTAGCTCTGTTGGAGCTTGCTGCCTCCCTTACATCCTAGGCCTATCTCCCTGGGAATACTTTCTCAAAGTGAATTCTAACTTCAGAAACATCACTACATGTTAAAGTGTTTTAGGACCAAAAGACATGGTGGTGATGATGTGATGAAGAAGATTACGGTGATATCATCACCATCATTCAGTGGTAAACAACTGCTGGAAGAGGTTATGATTTAAAAGATATTTTACTCCTTAAATAAGCTGTTTAAAGGATACCACTAGCCATTATGAAGAACCCAAAGATAGTTGCAACAAGCTAACAAACCACTTGAATCAAACTGAACTATGGATTAGAAATTGTCACATGCGGCAGCTCATTTATTAAACCCAAAGTGCAAATACAAATCGTAAAGACTGAATAAAGCTATTTGATTCCATTTAAACTTACAAAACATGATTTTTATGTAATTTGCTTCTTACCAGCAGATGTCAGTGCAACCTAATTAACTAATCTCTTAGCAGTTAAAAACCTGCCAGGAAACTGAGTGAAAACAGTCTTAAAATAGCAAAGTTAAAAACCTACTGTCAATGTTTTTGATTAAGAATACTTTCTTAAGTGGAGCTATAGAAAATATCAAGCCTTCAAAAGTTAAGTTAAAATGGGTCCTTGCCTAGGTAAATCATATTACATAAGTTTTAACACCTGGTTATCATCATAATTTATGTCTTTTGCAGTGATATATAAAAGTCATGACTTTAATTAAGTACAAAATGCTAATCTGTGGTAGACTGTTAGAATAACACATTATTTTAGAAATTCACACATCATAGACACTAGAGCCAAACAAAACTCATTTGTGTTTGGGTAACATATACAACCCCTTGAAAAACACATTAATTGCTAAAGAAAGCTAAAAACAAACCAATAATGTGATACTATTTGTTTTCTAGAGTGTAGCCTTTTGCTCTTAGCAAAAGTTGTAAATTTAATGACAGTAACAGCAGCACCTATTATGTGCTGAGTACTCACTCAGCTTATAATATTCTACATAATCTTTGTACCAATCCTGCAACATAGATACCAGCATCATTTTGAGAATACAGTAACCAACAGTACAGTAACAATACAGTACTGTATTTGAGAATACAGTAACCAACCTTCAGAGAGGTTAGGTAATTTGTTTAACTAATAAAGGTTAAACAGCAGCCAAAATGACAAACCACAAATGATTACAAGGGTGTATTCTTCCCTTTATGCAATATACCATTCCTTTAAAAATGCTATTTCACGACTTTATATGGACGAGGCCTCTCATTGCTTGTTTGTCAGACTTAAAGCTAAAGCTGAATTCTGTGCAAAATATTTCTACAAAAATGATAC